CCCAGGGCGCCCCCCGGCCCCCTCCCCGCCGCACGGGGGCGCAGGGCCGCAGTCCCCCCGCGGTTCCGCCCGCCGCCCGCGCCGCGGGGGGAAGCGGCAGCGGCCGCAGCGTCGCCCCCGGGACGGGGGGATCCACAGCGGGAGGGAACCTGAGCGCGGCCGACACCGCCACAACGCACCCACCTGCCCCACGCGGCCCCGCGGCCTCCCGCGGCTTCCGGCGCCGCCGCCAATCGCCCTCGGCGGGCCGGGCCGGGAGGCGGCACGAGGGGCGGCACAAGGGGCGGCACGAGCCCCGCTCCGCCCCGGGGGCCATTTTGTCCCGCCTCGGCGCAGTGAGGGTTGTGGTGCAGCCTGTGGCGGCCGCGCGCGCAGCTGGAGCAGTGCCGCGCTTTCAGCAGTGCTGTCAATAAATGGCTCCCGTCACGGCCGCCTCGGGCTAGGCGTGCYCGTGAGGAGTCAGGATGGTGCCTGCGGCCCGCCGGGGAACGGGGAGCTCYGCGTTGGGGAGGTGGCGTTTCCTCGAGTTGCTGCCCTCCTGCGATACCAGAGGCCGGTTCCCCTGGCCGGGCGGCTCCGGGTGCCCGCAGGTCCGTCCTGGCCAAGCCCGGGGCCGGGGCGTTGGGCCGTGTCCTGGCCAGGGCAGGGGCTCTGGGCAGTGGGGTGACGAGAGGTGCCTCTCCCCGTGCTCTCATTTCCATAGGCTGCTCCAAACGTTTTACGTGCCCCAGTGCTTCCAAGCAGACATAGCAGAAGGCTAAGATTGGTAGGGTAGATTTAAAAAGCATGGCTGTTGTTCAAATACGTTAGTCACTGTTTCTCCTAAAATAATCTCTAGTCGGGAATTTCACCATTTCAGTCATCATTTTCATCAGCTTTCACCAGCTCTGTAGTTTGCTTTTTAATAAACATATACGAYGTGTTTGTGTTTGGCGTGTTCACATTGAATGGGGTGGCGTGGGAAGGCCAGGACCAACTTCGCCCTATCCCGAGCCCAGCAGCGCCTGTCTTGGAGCACTTGCAGTTTCTCGGTAGCAGGAGTCGTTTGTGTCTCTCCTAGGGCTGATGCTTCAAGCATTTATAAACCCACACACCCAAACCAGGTGGGTTTGTATCACACTTACCTTTAGAAGGTGTTTTTCACAATGGTAACTGCATGAAGCTTAGGTCAAGGTTCTTATCAGGTATAAATTGGCATCACATAGAGCTGGAATAGTTTATTCCAGGTGGAAATCTGAGTGTTAATTAAAATGAAAAAAAAAAAAAATCCTGTTAGAGCCTTCAGTGCATTTTGCAGCAAACGAAGCAGCATGAGGGACTCTTGAAAACAAGGAGATGTGCTAATGTCTGAAAACAATCTGTGAAAAAGGAGAGGAGATCGTTTGAAGTGTGTTTTAAAAAAAGGAGTCGCAAGGAAAACCAAACATCTCGGTGGCTGACAGTCAAAACTGCACTGTCAGCACGATGGCTTTGATGCAGACACTAAGTGTGTCATCCCCTTCACCCCCCAGTAGCGCATACTAGGGCAGTAACGAGTGTTTTAGATAGGGAATCATTAAATGTTGAGCAGTCTTGGTGCAGGAAAAGGAAAAACGAAGTTGCAAGCGTCACGGCTGGGCCTTATTAACAAGACACCTGTCTTGGTCTGCCAGTTTCTGATCTCTTCACAATTACTCTTGTGTTGCCAGGATCTGTATGTTTTCTTGATAAACATGGATGGTTTGTATGTGTTTTGCTGTTTGCATTTATTGGGGTGCTGTAGGGAAGGGCCAGGAACAAGTTTTCCCCTGTCATCCGAGCACAGCGGCACCTGCCTTGGAGCATCCCCTAGTTTCTCGGTTCTGAGCTCTCAAATGCAGCAGGCACCTCTCTACCAGGACGCCTCAACCCAAATCTGCAGCATTTCTTGCTCTTCTCGTCCTAGTTCCAGAATACATTTCAAAGGCTCCTGTCTCTTGCTGTGCAGTTGCTGCTGCTCTAATCTCAGCAGCCCAGCTTTGCTGGCACACGTGCCACGTCCCTTTGCTGTTCTGTCCTGAGCCCCGTGTACGTCTGTCAGCCCAAGGTTTGACCTTGCAGCTTGAGGAGAGGGGAGTGCATTTTTGTGCATGGCTATAGGTACTTTTTTGGAAGAGAGAAAAGTTTCTGACCACGTTCCTCTTCTGGCAGCAGGGCTATCAGAACTTGGCTTAGTATCACAAAAGGAGGTGGAAGTTGATACCGTGTTGATCTTAGAAAGCTGATTGCTTGGGCTGCATTTGTATACAAGAACTAAAGAGTTAAAACTGGAGCAGACGCAGAGGGGAACAGGAGGCTGAATACCTGGGAGAAATTTGGAGGTTGAGAGGAGACAGAAATTTGGAGTCGTATCACATTTCTAGTCCAAATTTGAGCTAGTGCTTTTTATGTGCCAATAAGCATGCTTCATCAGGATCTGTAGAGTACCCTCTATAAGACAAATGCATCTCACTTCAGCTCAATCCACAGAAAAACAGTTGTGAGACCAGAAGCTCTGCTGGACCTCCTTTCCGTCTGGCCTGTGTTTTATGCTTAGGTTTGCAACGTCTCATAAAGCGTAGACATCAAGCAAACTTTTCTAGGGTTTTCAGAATTTTTTCTCTCCATCACCTCTCTGCTGGCTGATAAAGGCTGAACCCTGCAGTGCTTCTTGGACACCAACAGGATCCCTCCTCTCGATGCAGCTGCATGTTTTGGTGAAACTTGCAGGGATTAGTGTCGTTGAGAGGACCCTCAGGGAAGCTGAGTGGAAGTGTGTGAGGAGAAAGCTGGCAGATGGCGTGATCATATGAGCTTCATTGCCTTAAGACAGGCTGCAAACAMTACCAGAGCTTGCCCTAATTGGCAGTTTCTCAGTCTCAGACAGTAATGCCATAGGCTGTAGAGGACGGTTTCCACTCTCACCCTCTGCAGATAACCCCTCTGCTCCAAACAGAGGTCTGCCTGGGTCTGAGACACGTGGTGGGTGTTGTACTGCTGCTACCTACGTTTTTCTTGCTGCAGGAATTCTGTATTTCTGG